TACAAGAGATGCAAAAGGATAGACCATACAAACTGTAATAATGGGAAAGTTTAAGTGCTTATGTCAATTTCAAAGTTAACTTCAGTGCAAGGAATACCTGAAGAGAAGTTGACATTTCCCAATGATAAGAATAAATAAAGAGGCAGAGTAAGTCTAAAAGTTTATGTACAAAATGTTAGGACTTTAAAATATGAAGAGCAACACTGGCAAACTGGAAAGGAGAACTAGATAAATCCACAATTCAAATTAGTTATTTCAATACTCCTCTACCAGTAATATGATGAGTAGACAGGAAATCAGGAAGTAAAAAGAGTACTTGAACAACATTATCCACCAATCTAACCTAATTAACATTTATAGAACATAACACCCAGCAACTGCAGAGCACACATGACTGTCAATGGCACATGGAACATTACCAAGATAGACCATATGCTTGGCCATAAAAACCTCAATAAATTAAAAAGAATTGAAAGCATTCAGAATATGTTCTATAAAAAAACAATGAAATTATAAATCAGTTAAAATTATATCTGGAAAATGTCAAATATTTAGAAATGTAACATAATGATTTTAAACAGCTCTTGAAGTAAAGAGGAAATGACATGGAAAGTGAGAAAATACTTGAACTTGTATGACAATACAAACATAACCTATCAAAAATGTGTGGGTGGCCTTTAGATACTTATAAAAGAAGTTTGAGATCAGTGGTCTGAGTTACAGCTTAAGAAACAAACAAACAAAAAGGTAAATTCAATCCTAAAAAAGTGGAATGAAAGGAACAGTACCAAGCAAAAATAAAAGAAATAGAAAACTGTATGTGGAATAGAGGAAATCAATGAAGTAAACTGCAGTTGAGTTGAATGACAATACTTGAACTTCTTCTAAGGAATAGTTGCACATGTCCAGCACATTAACGTACATATGTGTGTCAAATTTATCTATCACTAAGCTTTGCCTGGTATTGTTTATGGGTTGTTTGGTTTAAAAGGTCATAACGCTGACAGATGCTAAAATGTTATAGGAAAGGAGAAGGTATTTTTATGATTCCCAGAATACATTTTACATTTGGATTAGGAGATATTAGTGACACTTTTGTTGTCAGGTGGGGAATGGTGCCCCTCCACAAACAGATGTTGGAGAGTCAGGGGGCAGTGCGAACCTTAAGAGATGGGGTGGAACATAGGCTCAGCCACAGTCTCAGAATATGGTCCCTATCAGACCTTTCAACATTAGCCTGGAACTAATAACCTTTCCACATTCCCCTGCACACAGAAATCAGAGCCTTTGCACAGTGTGTACTCTGAAGGCCAATTGTTGGAGCTGGTGGCCCTTAGAATCTCTTTCCAAGCACCTGTGCAGCCAGCTCACAGCTGCCTACTGCACAGAGGACCACACACCTGGGTGCTACTTCTCCTGTTAGTTGCTGGGTGGCCTGCACGCTCTGAGGGTGCAGTATCAGGACTTCCCCTATGTGCTCACACCATCAGTTGTTCATTTTCTCTATCCTCATCAGTAGTCTATTGCTTATCCATCAACACCAGATAAGCTCTGTCCTGGCTAAACCAGTGAACTTGACTATCAAGGGCTCAACCACACCTTCTACAAGGGGTCTTCCTTGGGTACTCTCTATCAGCCTCAGGGGCCAATATCGAGTTTCCTTACATCTTATAATTACTCTTGTGCTGTAGTTAATTTTTTCTTTTTTTCCCAAAGTCTCAAAAAATAAAGAATCTTTATTTTTATAAAGATAGAAGGTAATTTCAAAAAGCAGATCATGCCAAATCTTATAGGCAATAGAAAAAGAAGAAATACTTCAAAATCATTCTACTTCACCTGGATATGACTGATATTAAAATTGGAAAAAAATATATTATTAGAAAGGGAAATTACAAACATATTTCACTTATAAATGAGGATGCGATATCCTAAACAACATAGTAACAAGTTGAGTTAAAAATTATTGTTCAAATAATGTACTTTGGTCAAAATTAAATCCAATTTATGTGAGAATTAGTCACTATTTTCTTTTCTTTCCCTTACCCCCTCCCTCCTTCTCTCTCTATCTGCTCTCTTTTCTCTTTTTAATCTTTTATTATTTATTTATTTATTTGTAATTCTTGATATTAAACTTCTCCTGTAGAGCTTGTTATGGGGTTTCTTGTTCTTGACTGGACACAGACTACTATGATGGATAAATGTCCAAGTTCATATAGTAATTTCAAAATAGTAATGAAATTATAAGAATCCCTGTTTTAGATTTTAAGATCTCTTGAGTACACCATGATTCTGACACTCCAGGCCCCCATCCCTACAGTAACGTAATCGGCACTTGTTTGATTTTGGCCTGTTTTGTTAGGAGGGATACATTAACATACACAGAAATAAAGATATAGGTGTGGTCACTGGTGACAATGGGACAAACATTTTATGTAATACTTTATATTTCACTCCTTTTTTATAAAGGTCGTTTTTCTGATGAAGCTCATTTATCGACCATCTAAGTGCCTTCAAAAGGCGGAGACCCTTGATCAGTTGTTGCAAACCTAAAAAATAAATGGTTTTCTGCTTTCCTCCTTGTCTCTGATATCTATATAAGAAAAGACAGTTTTGCTAAAAATTTATAGGCTGAATCTGACTATCTGGCTTTTTAATACAAATGAAGTTTAATAGGCATTCATTTAATCGACTTGGACATTTATTTATGCCATCAAATGATGCCAAGAACAGTGTTAGCTGGTGTCATCTGCTAACTGGCAGCATTAGTATGACCCTGGGAGCTTTTAGCAAATGCAAATTCTCGTCTCCCACCCTAGACCTGGTCCCCACGAGTATGTGCTTTAACAATGGCTCCAGGTGATTCTAGGCATGCTAAAGTATGAGAAGCACGATTCAGAACCTCTCAAATGTGGTTCTATAATTTATACTACATTTTTTAAAGCAAGTAGTCTAATATGCAAAAACCTTTGGGATATATTAGTTTTCTAATAGCAAGTCAATGGGAGTTTAATTAAGCAAACTTTTTCTGTCCCCAGATATTGAAAGAGAGGGGAAGTGAATATCAATATCTGTTTGATGGTGAATTTATGTCACATGATGGAAATGAGATACCTCTAGCGTAGGGATATGTATTCTCCCACAAGGATGTTAAAGTAATGCACATGGCATTTTATTTTCCTCTCCTTTTCCTCCCCTTTTCCCGTCTTCATTTTTGGTTTGTGGAGGGCCATCATTTGCTACCTGACTAGAAAATGCCACTTATTTTTGTAATCCAAATATAATCGGGGAATCATAAAAATAGCATCTCCTTTCTCATAACATTTTAGCGTCTGTCAGTGTTGCAACCTTTTAAACCAAATGGCACATAAACTAAGACAGGGAAAGCTCAGTGATGCATAAATTTTACATGCTGCGTATTAATACGCTGGGCATTTGCATTTATTATCTTGAGGGGGTTTGAGTGCTGTCATTCAAGTTGATTTCTCCTTATGTTAAGATGTCATTATTTTTATTTAATTAATACTTTGGGCTTTTGGAAATCATATGCAAATCACCTATTTTGCAGAAAGTGCCCCTATAAAGCTCATTTATTTTCGTGTCTAGAGTCTTATGCTTTGATGTGTATTTTGTTTATGCTGAGATTAGTTGAGTGTGCAGTAGGTGACAGGGAAGGGAGAGAAAGTCCACTGATGCCATTTCTAACCTCTCACAGTCTTGTCAGACTTAATGTTAAAGGCTGTATTTCTTACCCTTGCCTAAGAAAATAGAAAGTATGTTGTATATACCAGCCACTTTGAAAGTAAAGTAAATGAATTACATAGCAAAACCATTTTCCAAATAAAACTTCACTGTATTGTACTGCATACCGGCAAAAGAATAATCATCACTTTGCATGAATTTTGTAGTGCTGGTTTTAAAATGAGAAAATGTAGCAAAAATTATAATGTTATTACTACTAGGAGCAGTATTTTAAAGGAATATTTACTTAGAAACTATCCTGTTCCCCCGTGCTCCTGTTCAACCATGTCATTTCCCCTTTGAATAGACAATGGGAACAGCTAACTCCCTTGGGGGGTAGAACTTATCATGCAGCAGGCTTTCTACCATAAGGGAAAATAACAATAATTTCGCTCTATATAAAATCCTTTTTTTCTGAATGAGGCAAAATATTTTGTGCGAAAGATCTATAGAATCCCCTTGGCTGGGCACAGTGGCTCATGCCTGAATACCAGTACTCTGGGAGGCCAAGGAGGGTGGATTGCCTGAGCTCATAGGTTGGAGACCAACTTTAACAAGAATGAGACCCCCATCTCTAAAAATAGCTAGTCGTTGTGGCAGGCACCTATAATCCCAGCTGCTTGGGAGGCTGAGGCATGAGAATAGCTTGAGCACAAGAGTTTGAAGTTGCTGTGAGCTATGATGCTGTAGCCCTCCACCAAGTGTGACAAGGTGAGACTGTCTGAAAGAAAGAAAGAAAGGGAGAGAGAAAGAAAGAGAGAGAGAAAGAGAGAGTTTGGACTTTCTTATTACATTATTTTCTGAATTTTCAAAACAATTGAAATAGATGAGGAATTTAATATGACAAGTGTTAATTTAGTAAGCTCTAAAGAAGAGCAAATTTTCTTCCTGAGTGTATGCCTAATACTTCTGGAAGGCATTGAACGTTGCCTGCAGCCACAAATATTGAACTTTTGGCTCAAAATGCAAAAATATATATTACACAATTCATCATATGTGCTTTCCTTAAAATAAAAGAAAATTAATCGAAGTTTTCCTCATTAATGTATCTGCTACTTTGATTCAAAAGACTTGAATTCAGAGCCATTACGTAAAATGATTTGCTGACATATGTCTTCATAGTGGGCATCAATACTGGAAACTTGAGAGTAATTTATTTTTATTTTTCATTCTAAGTCATTCTAAAGTGAAAGTAAACATTCCAAACTTGTTGGTTCTGTTTATATTTCTTCATTTCTTTTTTTTTTTCCAGTTTGAAAACAAAAAATATAAAACACTTCATGAATTTGCATGTTATCCTTGTGCAGGGGTCATGCTAATCTCTGTATCATTCCAGTTTTAGTGTATGTGCTGCTGAAGCGAGAACTATTTCTTCATTTCTTATTCTAATATCACCATGAAGAATTTAGCATGGTGTTTATAATTTTTATAAGAAAGATTTATCTGACAGTTAATATTTTTAAAATATCTACAATAACCATCTGCTGTTTCTTTCCCAAACTTAAAATTTTTTGCCTAATAAGAGATTCACCTTATCTTTTGCAATGAAAAATTTTCATTTTGTGAGCATGAACCAAATCTTTACTTCTGAATCTCAAATTCTCTTGCTAGTGGCTTGCTATTCTATTTCACTTCTAAGAGCTGGCCAGTGTCTTATATCTGTTGAAGTCAGACTATTCTATGGCTGCTTTGACTCTGCTGTTCATTATGGTAACCATGCCCATGTAGCCTTTGGCAATTTAATGTTGCCACTTGGCCTTTCCCTCCCCAGGGTCCAATTACCCCCATTACATTTAGTTTTTCCCATTCAGTGATCACAGACCACACTCTTATGTCAGTCTACAGAGAAGAGGGATCACAAAGCTCTTCAATAATGTCAAAACTCTTCTTATAAATTATTTCTCATATGAGTAGTAAAAGGTATGCCTCTGGACCCTTTTGGTGTGAGTGAATACATTTTAACTACAAATTATCCTTAATATTCCAGTTTCCCTAAGCCTTTGTATCTCTTCCTTTACATTAAACCAAACCAGGTCAGGCTCACATCATAAACTCTCAAATCAGCAGATGGCTAGTGTGGATGCAGAGGAAGAAACACTCATAAACTTTTGGTGAGACTACAAACTAGTTTGACTTCATAAAAAGTGCATAGAAATCCCTCAAAGAACTTACAGTAGACCTGCCATTTAGTCCTGCAATCCCACTGCTGGATATTTACCCCAAAAAAGACATTTTATGAAAAAGATATCTGCTCTCAAATGTTTGTAGCAGCACAATTCACAATCACAAAGATGTGGAAACAACACAAGTGTCCATCAATTCCTGGATCAATCAATAAAATGTGGTATGTGTATGTCATGGAATTCTATTCAGCCATAAGAAGGATGCTGATCTAGTATCTTTTGTAACAACCTGGATGGAATTATAGACCATCCTCCTAAGTATTGCAAAAATGGAAAACAAATACCAGATGTACTCAGTACTTAATTGGAACTAGTTAATTAGCACAATTGTGCTTATCTGGAAGCAAAATTCAGTAAAATTTAAGAGGCTGTGGGGAGGGGAGAAGGAGATAGGCAAGTTTCACTTACTGGGTACATTGCAAACTTTCTGAGTGAAGGATACAACTGTAACTTTGCTTAAAACATACATACTAATATGAAGCCAGTAGATGAACCAATACACACCCACACAAGAGAAAAACTCAATTCAATTCAAGTTGGGGGAAGAGGGGAGGGAGGAAAATGAAGGAAGGAGAATTGGTGTGCTCCGACCTAATGGGTGCAATGTAAGGTTATATGGCACACCCCCTGAGTGTGGAATACAACTACAACAGGGACTTTACCTAAACATGCAAACACTGTAACCTAATTGTTTGTATCCTCATATTAGTCTGAAATAAAAAAATAAAATAAAATAATTTAAAACACGTACAAAAACAAACTATGTAATCAAAACATGTGTGATCCCACAATATTATGAAATGTAAAAAAATTAAAAATAATTAAAAATAAACTTGTACTTGAGATGTCCTACCTTTCACAGCCAAACCAATGTATGCCTTCCATACACTAATTTACAACTTTACTTGTATTTCCTATCTCCCTGAAATGTATAAAACTAAACTGCAACCCAACCACTGCTAGTCCATTTATTCAACTTCCTGATGGAGGCTACAGGCAATGGTCCTCAAATTTGGCTCAGACTAAACTTCTTTAAATTATTTTACAGAGTTCTGTTTCTTTCCATTGAAAAAGTTAAGACAGAAGAATAAAGGATAATGGAAAGAAGATGAAAGTTAAAGGCTATCATGACTTTGATCTATGATATCTATTAATCAATAGAAAATGTATTCAGTTCTGACCGTACTGTGTAAATATGCAGATAATATATAAAAGATAAAGGGAGCAGCATAAAAAAATAAAAAAGGACTTCATTATTTAAAAAAAATAAATTATTACTTGAACAGTATAAGAGGAAAGGTTCTAGATCAAATGACAAAAGTCTAATTTGAGTCATGGTCTCTTAATCAATTCCAAAATGTAAACCAATTTATAGTCCCAGTGCCCTAAAAAAGAAGAGGCCATTTCCCCTAGTAGACAGATTTGCTACACTGCTAAAAATTTATATTTTTAATCTATCTCTGAGACTTCTCCAAAGAAATCTACAGATTTTCTCTACAGTAACTGCCCATTGAGGAAAGGAAAATAATTATACCTGTTGGGAACTACTGAACATGGATACTAATTATTGGAGTTCCAAAACATCACTTTGCTTCACCAGTCAGAGTAGGGGCTTGTGAAAGTCAGGTGATTCATAGAGTATTGTTCAGGTCTGTCTCCTCACAGTGGGCCCAGTGGGTTGCTGAACCCACCCCATGGTATAATTAAATACATAATTAAAATAGATATACTCAGCACACTTAGCAGTTTGTAGGATCCCCATATTCATTCTTGGACCTTTGGATTATGGGTATTATGTTGTGAAAGCTTAAGCAGAAATAACTAGGACTTCTGCTATGTAGGAAAATATTAACCAAAAGAAATCTTACATTTCTGGAAGAATTGTGGAGATTATAGATTGTGACTGTTACCATCAAGGGCTTGAATGATGCTGGGGTGGTGAATCCTACCGCATCTCCATTTAACTCATCTGTTGGAGCTTTGTAGAAGACAGAAGGATCCTGGACAATAACAGTGGATTGTATTAAACCTAACCAGGTTATAACTCTCATTATAGTGGCTGTATCAGATATGGCTTCATTGCTTGAGTAAATTAGCACATCTTCCTTTAGCTGATATGCAGCTAGTAACCTGGTAAATGCTTTATTTCATGGCACCTGTTAGTAAAAATCATGAGAACAAGTCTGCTTTCAGTTAGTAAGGCCAGCAAGAAACTTTCATTATCATCCTTCAGCTCTTTGTCATAATATAGTTTATAAGGATCTCGATTACTTATCCCTTCCACAATATAGTAGACTGGTACATTGATGCTATAATGTTGATTCAATCTAGTGAGTTGAAATCAGCAACCACTGTGGATTTATTAGGACATTTACATGTCAGAAGGTGAGAAATAAATTCAACAATTCACAAACTTTCTACCTCAGTGAAATCTCCAGTAGTCAAGACATCCTTCTAAGGTGAAGCATAAATCATTGCACCACTCTCTCCCACAACCAAGAAAGAGGCACAATGCCTACTGGAGTACTTTGGACTTTGGAGGCAATGACTCCTTCATTTGGATGTGTTACTCCTGTCCACATACTAGCCTTTGTAGTCAGACCTAACTATGCTGTTGGCTTTCCTGGATATGGACTTCTCAGCTTCTATGATAGCATGAGCCAATTATAAATAACATATAAATACATAAAACATATAAAAAAGTTTATATATATTATACATTCTGCATCTACTTTATATATATGTGTGTATGTGTGTGTATTCTATTGATATTTGTTTCTCTGAATTGGTTCTGTTTCCCTGATACAAGTTTCATCTTCTCGTATAATCTACCACCAACTCTTCGAAAATGCCACAAATCATGAGAATTTGATGGTAAAATGGTCTTGATGAGCAAGTGATTTGCCAGTTAAGTAATTCATGCCTACAAAAGGAAGTTATTTTCTACAATAATTTTTATGGATTTTTAAAAAACTTTATTCAAATTAATATGAAAGTACAATTTTTAGGTTACATTGTTCTCACTTCCACTTCAAAGTTCCATTTGTAGAAGAGTTCCTCACCCAGGGGGCGTGTTATACATGCTCACAATTTGCACATTAGCTGAGATCCCACTTATGCCCTTCCTCCTTGTGCCATACGTCTTCCCCCTCTCCCTGTGTCCTCTTCTCTGTATCCCAGAACTGGATTATATTAGTGTTTTATTGTTCTTAAGATCAAGTAATTGTTTATATATTGATTTCATATTAGTATGGAGTACATTGGATTTTTATGGATCTTGGAATGACAGGGTCTCTCTTATGTCACCCAGACTGGAATGTGGTGGTATAATCATAGCTCACTGCAGCCTCCCAGTCCTAGGCTCAGTGATCCTCCTAGTTTAGACTCCTGAGTAACTGGGTCTACAGGAAGGCGTCACCATGTGCTGTTTATTTACCATAAGGAAAACTCTGTTTTCCTGAGAGAAGCCGAGTAGATAAATAACTTGTACAGAGAAATAGATTTTCAGAAAGTTCCACAAACAAATAATACATTAAAATAATTTTATATTGGTTTAAATTTTTTTGCTGAATTTATTCTTAAACCTGTCAAGTTATGTGGATTTAGGTAAAATGTTTTCAACATGGATTAGAAGATTCTCCCCCAAGTAATAGTTAAAGCTATGTTAAATATTATTCTCTACTCTGTGTGAGTAGATATGTGTAGATTATTTTTAGACAATAAACAATCTAAGTTCTTCCTTTTACTAATAGTGTTTTTTATACCATATAAGTGTATTTTTATCAATGATTTTAAATTGTGTATCTTGAGATGTACCATAAAGAGAAGTAAAGACATTATTTTAAGCTAAGAGAAAGAAATATTTCTATCTTTAATGACAAAGAGAATTAAAAGTTGAAATACACAACTCTTTAAATTACTAGGAAATAAACTAAAATAGAGAAAAAGTGATATGAGGAAAAGATTAAGATCAAGAAATTATAAAAGGCAAGCATAAAGATGACTATAATTTAAACTAAAAAGTAATAGAAAAACATATATTAAAATATCAGTTAGAATTCTACTGAAAAAAAATTAGCAAAGATTCAGACATATTAGTCTTCAATAATGGACAATGCCTGTGGCTCAAAGGAGTAGGGCACCAGCCCCATATGCCAGAGGTGGTGGGTTTAAAATATAAACC